GTTTGAGATACACTATCATCACCATCTTTCATACAACATCAACACCTTTAACTATCTTCCATCAAGGACACCAACATCTTTATTATAATTCCGTAACCAACTCTTTTCTATCCTTATTTTCATTACTTATTTTGATTATCCATTTCTTATTTCTTTACTAATATCATCTTATATCATCTTTTTTGTAGCCATACTTATAATTCAAGGACATTACTAATTGTCATTCCTAGATTGGGACAACAATAAAGCTATCTATCATCTTCTTCATTAAGGGCGTAGATGAGCCTACATCATTATGTGAAAGATTACCACAAGGAGATTTAATCCTTACTAAATCGTATAAACATCAATGAAGAAGAAGAAGATACAGTGACCAGATTTATCATCGGTTTGAATCAACATATCGTTGATATTCTTGACCTACATGAGTATCAAGGCCTTTAAAACACATTAAATAAAGAAATCATGATCGAAGGATTACTTCAAAGGAAGTTTCAATTCAGAGACAATTAACAAGGTTCTTCAAATCCTTCAACTTCTTCGTCTACTCCACCTTCTTCTGCAAATAATGAATCAGACACTAACAATGAAGAATAAGATATTGTAGGAATCATTGATGTTAAAAAATACTTCTCAGTCCCTTACACCATTGGAAACAAACGATACACTTGAAAGTCAAGTGACAACACGTTGTGAGATGGGTGGGAAAAAAGATGATAAAGGCAAAAACAAAAGAGGTCACTTGTTACAAAAGCCAAAGGAATAACGACCCATAGATGATGAGTAAACCTGATTGTGATAAGAAAATATTTATTCAAAATACATATGTGAGCGCAAAAGAATTGAGAGAGAACCTTCTTCACAAAAATCCTTGTATCTTTGTTTGTTTTAGGGTATCAATTATTTCTATTTCTATCATTAACAATGGTTTGCCTAGTGTGGTTATTTCACTTTTATAGGATTTTTTAGAAGTGTTAAGTGATCCACCTTACGGATTACCACTAGAACTAAGGAAACAACACTGAACCAATATAATTCAGAGTTATTTCATACCTCGTCAGACAAGCAATCCCGAAGAAACCAAAGAGTTAAATTTGTTGCAAACATACTACATCTAGAAAAACCTTAGTCATTGTGCCATATTAGTGTTGAATCACGATCTAAATCACTTCACAGGTAAGTATGTTGTTATCTATTTTGATGATATTCTTATATACTCTTTTTCTTTTGACAAGTTTCAAACACTTGAAGTTTGACAAGACAACATACTTCTGACGAAGTTTATCATCCATAATAATCATAAATTCTTTAAGTGGTTAAAAGACCGAGGTAAGAAAAACATAGTAGAAGATGCACTATCCCAAAGGTACACACTTCTCAAGTGAATACTATTATTCAAAGAATTGAACATATCAAAGATGTATATCATGATGAATCGAATATTTCTGATATATATACCAATTCTTTAAAAAGTTCTTTTAATGAGTTATAATTTGTAAATAGGTTTCCTTTTCAACTGAACAGGTTATGCAGTTTACAAAGCCCTTCACGAGAATTCTTAGCTCATGAACCACGCTTAGGATTCTTCATGGATTACTTTAACGAACCACTTATCATGGTTTTTAAACAATCATTCTCCCCACACACAAGTAAAACCATATAGAGAACATATGAATCAATTACAAACAAAGCTAACAGTGGTCGATGTCATATTGAATTTCAACCTAAACATTGGATTACAAGACTTGAGTGCAAAAGAGGATTTTAAGACAACAAAAAATCAGTTCCAACAAGGAAGAAACCTATACTAAATCGCATAAACACACATCACATTAATCCGAGTAAGTGTTTTACAAGCATTCCTTCAAACACATCTAATTATCTTTCTTTTGAATTTTTAGATTCATAGACGAATCATTTTGAGGAGAGAGAGAATGATACATGCTCCATAAATCCATAATGATGACAATGCGTTCTTCTTTGGACTAATATTTTTACTCGAACCAATTAGAAGAACAAAGTCTCAAAGATTCAAAACATATATATTCGGTAAGTATATTTGGTAAAATCATTCAAAGGTTTTCATGTTTCTCCCTTTGATGTTTCAATACGAGGTCGAATTTTTTTGAAGAGATGGAGGATGATACATGTACCACAAGACTCACATCAAAGGAAGATAGACTATCTCTTTCAATTGATCTACACAACCAAGCTTTGGAAAAGAAGGCCAAAACAACAACAAACTTGCGATGACTTTTTGAATGGGATACATGTGTTATTTGGTCGACGTGTCTTCTGGAGATACGATCGAATGTCTCTTAGCTTTCCAGCTGTACTTGAAACGCGTCAATTCGATTTTAGGAACTTAAGATATGTCCATTTCAATGAAGATAACACTTGCAGACATTTTCCTACGTGATTAATACGAGATTTTGTATATATTACGAATTATCAATATTTATATTGACTATTTGTAACAAAATTTAATATAGAACAATAAATTATCTTTTAGGAATTAAGATAGAGTTAAAAAATATCTTTAGTTTATTATTATTTTATTAGAAATTAGGATAAAATCAAAATATTATATTTAGTTTATTATTACTTTATTCAATAGTTACTTAGATTCATGGAACTCCTCACTCTTTATAAAGGAGGCTCTATTCACAATTATAATTCAATTTTTTTTTATTAATAATACAACAAGAGATTGTTTTTGTAAGTGTTGATTATCATAGGCCTTCGAAACATTCTTCATCATTAAGTTCTTTAAGGTTTTCGTGAGAGAGATCTTTACACTTCGATTTATATCTCATTGTTATTAGAAGGGCTAGTTAGAGTTAATCTTTCAGCATTAACTTCCGTTACATACCGAAATTTAAGGCCTGAAAACACATTTCCTACCACCATTTAAATCTGTTGGTGGTTGCTCAACAGTATTGTTTTAAACCAAATCTTAATAATAACTGAAAATGGCAAAGTCCACAACGCAGTTCATAAGGAGCAAGAAAAGTTTTTCATAAAAAAAATGAGGAACAAGAAAAGTTTGAATCATCACATCATGATCCCACAAGAAAAACAACACCAAATTGTTGCTAAAACTCCTTCAAACATCAGCAATTACTAAAAAAAATCCAAGGATCAGATCTCAGAAAGATCAACTGAAATAGTTCAAAAATGTTCATTATGGCAAAAGATTTGCTCTGCCTCCTTCCTCCATAGACAATCTTAAGTAATAAGTAGTCGAGAGATTTAGATTATGACATTATGTCCTCTCCCTAAAGAGTAAATGACCCTTTGAAGTTTAAGTACACTAGAAGTAGACTAGACTAGACTGTTAGTGCCAGCATTAACCTTTGCTTTTGGAGTTCTTGGGAGTTTTTAGAGGCCAACAATGGCAATAATAAGCTGATAAAGAATAAAGCTTGGTAATTGCTTGAATAAATGCGTCAAAGATCTTTGCCCATCAGATATTCTCGTCGCCTTTTGGCATAGCTTGCATCATCATATATGTTCAAAGTACACTGCAAAGAACACTATGTTTTCTTGCTATACCCTTCACAAATTTTTGCAGTTTTGGTTGATTTTTTGTGTTTCTTCACTCACCTTTCTGATCAAACACACATTAACCATGGAAGAAGCTACCCCATTGTGTCCAAAATGAGCTAAAAAAGTAAAAGACTTTCGTCTGAAAAATGGTGCCTGACATGAAACAGAAGTTTTCAACAGAGAGAATCCAGATATTTTAATTGTGATGATTGCAGAGAAAACAGATAAATGGTGAGAAAGAAAGAGAGATAAAGAAAGGGGCCCTCTTTCTAAAGCCTGCAACAGAAATGAGTGGCACTGCACCAAAGAGTAATGTGTTTCTTCTTGTTTTTTACTTATCTTTTTCTCTTTCCATCTTAATGAAATGGGGCCATCTCCATATGTGTTTTCTCTTCTGCACTTATTTTTTTTTTCAGTTTTTATGGGGCATTTTTGGACTCTACCTCCCTCCCTTTTTAGTGGGGTTCTCTTTCTCTATGATTTTTGCTGTTTTAGTACATTTTCCCAAGAACCCAATGTGTGTTTTTAGGTGCTTTAAAATCTTTGTTGGACTGATTATGTATTATCTTGTTGGGGGTCTGAATCATTTTTTGGTGTTTGAGTTCTTTGAGAGAGACTAATAGAGCTCCACTTTTCTGTTCATGCAAACAAATTAACCCCACCTTTTTTGTGTTTGCTTCCTTTTATGATTTCTTTATATTCCTTTATGTTAAAGAAGAGAACAAAGGGTTCTTCTTTTTTCACTACAGTTCTTTGATGGCTTTTTGACAATGCTCTTTTTTTTTTTATGGAGAATTAGAAACCCAATGATTTCATGTGAACTTTGCATTACAATGGCTTCTGTTGAGTGTCTCTGAGAACACCCCATATTCATTTCTCAGTCAATATAGTTATAATGAAGCTGGTTTTCCCTTGTAGATAAGATTTTCAAGCATGAAAAATACTCTACCCTTCATATAATCTCAGGTAGGTCATCTTTTTTTTTTTCCAGATTTTCTCTTGTTTCAGACACACAAGCATTGAAGAAGATGAACTTTGAAGCCTCAAAATGTTCTACTTTCTAGTACATGAACTTACTCTATTTGTTCTCATGCTTTTCCTTTTAGTTCACCTATAGTCCTTCATTTTCATTTTTTTTCCACTTAGAATTTGTGGTGAGATATTGCTCTCTCAGTAGTCTTATCTTTTTGCGTAAGAGAGTGGGGCAGGAAATGGCCTCAATAATTTTGAAAAGTTAATCACATAATGCCTCTGAGAAGTCTGTGTACCATTTTTTGGTTTATATGGATTAATTGTGATTTCATTTCATTACCATTTTTTATCAGTTATCCAGGTTCATGGTGGATCATTGGAATGATCATAGTTGAAGTCAAGGAAGTTGTTTAGTGAACTTACGTTGGTATGAAACCCTACATGTTGAAGGAGCTTCATAGGCCTAAGGTCCCGTGATTTTTGTGCCCCAAGTATAATGGAGAATGATATGTTCGGTGTTCCACGGGCAATGGTGAGTCGAAATTCCGTTGTTATCGATTTGATCCCGTCGGAGATGGTCTCTAATAATTCAATAGTCAAGTCCAACTTGATTAACCAGATCAACCAAAACCAGACACTAGCTGGATTTCCTGTGCAACCCTCGATGCTAGGGGAGTTTAGTGGTGATCTAGGTGCTGATAACCGTCTGAATCATGTCCGGTTCTTTGACCCTAATGCATCGGTTGCAAGGAAGGTTGCGAGTGTTGCTTCGGGTTCGGAACATAACATTGAGTTTCATGAGCAATTCATGGGGAGGACTCCTGTTTCGACTCCACCTCCAAGGTGTGGTCTTCAAGAAAGCTTAAACGAGTTAGCGAACGTGCCGCCTTTGATATACCCTCAGGATTTAAGGACCTACTCTTCAACTGAATGCTCTGATGGCATGAATTCTACAATGGTGGCTCCAGTAAATAGTGTGTTTAATGAAGTGTTTGGTAGTATGGAAAATAAATGGAATTGTACCCCATCAAAGACAGCATTTCAACCTTATTCTTTGATAGGATGTCCGGATCCGAACAGTTGGGTAGCGTTGAATGGTGCGAATATGAGCCTGGATTTTCCCTGTGGTTCCTCGAAAAATTGTAATGAGCTATCTTTAAGTATTGCAACTTCACTTCCTGGTGTAATCAGTGGGAACAACATACCTGATCAGTCCTCTGAAAAAAACTGTTGCTTGAATGCAACAAGTTTAGGCTCAAAACAAACTTCTTGCAATGCTAAGGAGCTTTCTCTGAGTTTCGGTTCCGACGGACCGGTTCAAGTATCGCATTTGATATCAGGATCGAGATATCTTCATGCTGTTCAAGAAATACTTGCTCAAATTGCAAATTATTCTCTTGAAAATCTAGAGCAGATGAGTGTCGGAGCCAGAGCTTCTACGGCATTCTCCTCTAGCTGTCTTGCCAGAAGATGGATGGCTATGATTGATTCGAATGATCTCCCTGATGTTAATGGTAACTCCGAGGTACCTTCAGAGGCAAAAAAATCCCAACTGCTGACTTTGCTCCAAGCGGTATGTTGGTCTAGTTTATGCTTGTAGAGTTATGAATTATCACTTGGCTGCTTCAATTGCTATATTGAAATATGAACTGCATAATTTTCTCAATTATTGAATATATAAGATATTTGTTTATCCAATTACTTTATTTTCTCTATTTGATGGTGTGTTTAACACGTCATTGGGTTACTCAAATGGTGTTGCTATGATCGAGACCAGGTCGATGACAGATACAGTCAATGCTTGGATGAGATCCATACGGTTATATCTGCGTTCCATGCCGCGAGCGAGTTGGACCCTCGAGTGCATGCTAGTTTTGCTCTACATACCATCTCTTTCTTATACAAGAACCTTAGGGAGAGGATCAGCAACCAAATCCTAGCCATGGGAGCAAATTTCGACAGCGGATGCACGAGAAGTAGCAATGACTCATTTCAGAATTCATTCACCCTGGAGCAATTGGCCCTTCAGCAGCTGAAAAAGGATCAAATATGGAGACCGCAGAGAGGATTGCCGGAGAAGTCTGTCTCGGTTTTACGTGCATGGATGTTTCAGAACTTCCTTCATCCGTAAGCCATCTTTCCGGAGAATTGCTTCTAGGACAAGAAATCTCTAGCAGTTCTGTGTTTCTTGACATTTCGAATTTACAGGTACCCCAAGGATGCAGAGAAACATTTACTTGCAATAAGAAGTGGCTTAACAAGGAGCCAGGTACTTGGAGCATTCGATAAATCTTTTGACTTAACCGGTGTTTTCTTATCCGACTTTCATATGATTCGATTGTTTTCTATAATTTTCATGTCGATCAATGGATGACTAGGTCTCTAATTGGTTCATAAATGCTCGTGTTCGTCTATGGAAGCCAATGATAGAGGAAATGTATTTGGAGATGAACAAGAGAAAAGCGCAACAAAACGAGGAAGGAACCAACAGCAGCAACCCCCGGAGCCAGATAAACATCAACCATCAAAGGTTTAACATAAACTAAAAGCACAAGAAAATCGATTGGAATCCGGATTCAAGCACCTTTCCGGTAGGAATGGAACGCATCCGCCTCAGTCAAGGTTACAACTGTGTACTTGTCCAAAAAAAAGGGTTACGACTGTGCATAATGTTCCATTGTAGTTGGGACCTTTAGCTTTTAAGGGTATGGTCCTAATTCAAACAGGGTACCCTCTTGTTGAAAATCTTATGAAATTCATTGTAAAATTTCATGGAATTAATTGGTATGTTGAGTACGTTGAACGCCCCGTGATGGGTAAATAGCACAATTTTGTTTGCATGCATGTAAGATGTATGGCAATATATATATATATTCAATAGTCTTAAATATGTGCAAAATTAACAAAGTTTTATATTATGTAAAACGATCCTATCATTTGATGAGGGAACACATACACGTTAAGCGTATGCCGGAAAAGAAAACTTGTAAAATTATTTGGATTCAGCAAGTTCTAACAAAGAACAATTTGATGGGGGGAATCAAATTATTTTCCTGGAAGTTGAGACAAAGATGACTGTTTCAGTGACAATGTGACAGCAACGGCGTTTTTACCTAACAGATCCTTTTTTTCTCCTATTATAACACCCGTTATCAATATCTCCCGAAGTAACACCTTTTCGATTGAGATGACACAAAGATACATCTCGGGGACGCGTTTTATCTGAGTTTTTGTTGAGTCGGATGTCACGTGTGAAAGGCGCACCCCAGGGATGCGCTTTACCTAAGTTCTGCTGAGTTCGATGACACCCTGATATTTTTTAAATAATAAAGATTTTATATTTATTGTTTTATAAATTAGTAATATATTATGTAAATTATTTCGGTTATAATTTAAGAATTATTAAATATATTTTTTAAATGTGTGTTTTAGTGTTATATGTTTCAGGCACTTTGGCATTCACCCATTCTACGTAACATTAATCGGATGAATAATAAATGAAAACCAGCTTTAATTTTATTGTAATTATAAGAAAAAATGTATGAAATTATAATATTAAAATGTGTGATCGTATACATTATTTTTTAACTTTTAAATTGTAATATAAATTTTTTTCTCTATTTAGAAGGTGGAATTATTTTAATATTTTAAAATCAAATATTTTTATAATAAATAATATAATTATTATTAAATAATATAATTAATCATTTATAAAATTACAATATAAGTAATTTATATAATATTAATCAATATCAAAATAAATTTTAAATAATAAGTTTTTTTAAAAAATAAAATTTAGTTAGGTGTACATGCATTGGGAAATTATAGAAAATGCAATTACATTTAAATATTATAAACAAAAACATTCATTTAAATAGAATATTAATTACATAAGGGTTAACGGTTATGTGCTGATAACAGAGCTGGACATTTTTTTTCTATTGTGTCCAATGTTTCTATAATGGCCACATCGTTTTTGTTCTGTTGACTTCTCCCGAATATCCATATCACAATGTATTCTACTAGATTTTGGACGACCTGAGTACCTTATAGCAACGGATCTGGTACAATTGTAAGTCAAGTTTGAATCTCATCTGGGCCTCTTTCGTTGCCTATGGGCGGAAACTCAAATTCATATACCTTGAATACTTGTGAAAGTTGCTATACGGGATCAACATAATTTTTGTAGTCCAAATGCGAATGTGAGCAAGATGCAATTACATGAGAGCATGAATATTTGAGTGCTTGAAAGAAACCATAATCGCACCATCTATCTTGCAGATTAACTCTTAAAGAGTTAGCTTCAATCCCTTGCAGCAGACGTGGTATTTCGGTTACACGAAACAATTCACGGGTGCGAGAAAAAATTGTAACCAACATTCCATTTGATGCAACCACTTTTTTCTGTAAATCAACTACTAGTCTTGAGTGGTAAATATGACCGTTTTGCATCCACGTAAGAGCTTGTCCACCGATCTTTGCAAAGAGTTGACCCAAACGAAAATAAGTTATTTTGACCAACGCCGTGACTGGTAAATGACGTGCCCCCTTTAAGGTTGAATTTATTACTTCAGCCAAGTTGGTTGTCATATGACCATAGTGATACCCCCCGTCATACGTATTTGTCCACATTTCTTTGCTGATGTCCATAATGTATTCGCACCCCTTCTTATTTTTGCGAAACAACTCTTGTAGCATAGACTCAAACCTTTGAGGTAAGAGTTCGTAACCTAAGCCATTAGGAATATGTAATAGTTAATATGAAGTACAAATAAGTAATACGAAAATGATAGAAAAATTGGAAAAAAGTAACATACCCATCCGCACGACTAACTAACGTTCATCGTTCTTCTTGTATTTTCTATAATAGTTTGCAGCAATATGACAAACACAATAACGATGTTGAACATGTGGAGGTCTATACATTGTACCCAAAGACTCCATTGCTGCTTTTATCCCGTCTCCTCGGTCTGAAATAATGCATACTCGTTCCCTGGTGACAACTTGTAAACGTAAATTTTTAAGGAAAAAAGCCCAAGAATCAGTGTCTTCTCCTTGAACGAGGGCAAACGCAACATGAAGAATATTGCGGTTTCCATCTTGGACCACAGCCAATAATAAAACTTGCTTGTATTTCCCATACAAGAAAGTACCATCAATTTGGACAAATGGTTTACAGTACTTGACTGCATTAATACACTAAGGGTAAGTCCAAAAGACACGGTAGAATTGGCTGCGATCGCGAACCACTCGATCATTCACGTAATGATGTTGAGTTTCGAACTCAACAATCGTCCCGGGATTGAGTCTTTGCACAACATGAAACCAACTGGGCAGCTCGTTGTAAGAGGAATCTCATTCACCATGAAGTTTGCAAATGGCATTCTGTTTTGCCAACCAAGCTTTTTTGTAGGAGATGGTGTACCCATATTGTGACTGTATAGTAGAAATCAACACTGCAACAGCTATATGAGAGCTTTGCTTCACAATGGGCATGATTGTTTTGCAAATAATGTTGGAGTCCAAGTTGGGATGATCCTGGTTTATACCTCTTGCACAACACGTATGAGGACCGTTGTATCTGGTTAGTTCCCATAAGTTGTTCTTCCTCTTCCTCTTTGATACACGGACCATCCATTGACATCCGTTGTCACGTTGGACACAGTAGCAGACATAATTCTCCGTGGTAGATCGATCAACTCGGGACTGAACTGAGTTACGAATATTGTAACTCTTTATTGCCATCATTGCTTCCTCCTTCGATGCGAACTCCATTCTAATACGTAAATCACCGTTATTGACTGATGACTGAAGTTCATAGTTGCCAACATCAAGGAGATCCGGAAATTCTGGCTGGTACATTGCATCATAATCAGCCCCATACATATAAGCAGGAAGTTTCGCTGGTGTTGTATTTATCGGAACGTCATCCTCATCATCATCAGAATGTACATTAAACTGTGGTGAGTCAGGTTCAACGAATAATCCCATTTCAGCACCATCTGCACCTGGCTCCTGAAGAGGTTCTTCTGGCGGAGATGATGGTTCCTCTGATAATCCAATGTTGAGGTCAAATAAGTTCCCGCTTGAGTGTCATCCCCTTGAACTTGAGGCCATTGTATCATGTGGAATGTGAATAGACTGTCGTCTCGATGACATTCCCATATGTAAGTCAAAACATTTCAGATGAATGTCTGCCCCTTGAAGTAGAAGAGATGTTGCCATATGGATTATTGGTGAAGTCACGTGGGTTGAGATCATAAGCATTTGCTGATGAATGTCTTCCTATTGAATTTGATGGCATAGCATCTGGGGTTGGATCCGTCATTAATGATGTGAAATCATTACAGATCAGTTGTGTCGGGCTATCAACTTGATCATCATGATATGCAATACCAAAGTGAGAGGAATATGAGAGACCACGAGAAGCATGAACCTCAATAAAAATGGCATACATTTCAAGAAGAGATGTGAACTCCCCATATGAGCATCAACCATCATAGAAACATCATCATCGTTGGAAAGCTGAAATGATGTATATGTGAGTGGAAAAAGTTCAGTAGGAAATCTATACTGAAGTGAAGATAGTCTTCTCCGGCCAGCTACACGAATCTTTAACGAACTTTTTGTGATTAACTTCTCAAGAGTTATGTTTCTCTTTAAGGTTAAGGGGATATAATGATCTGACTCAAAAACAACCCCGTCTTCAGCTTCCTTAATTTCTCCATCATATAAAACAACAGAAGAAAGACGACTCATTTTCAGAGAATAGAGGATTGATATTTCTGAGAAATTTAGAGTTTGAGAATTTGAAAACTTGTGAACTGAAGTTTGTTTTGAACGTCCATAATACGTTGCATATAATAGTGTCTATAACCGGGGTACTATTCACGTGAAGGCGCGTTCCCGGAGGGTGCCTTCTATTATTTTGTCTGAGAATATGTTATCATTGCCCTATTATGTCACTCATGTCCTTCGGGGGCAACTATTCATGTCAGAACCCAAAGTGGTGAAGGCGCGTTCCCGGGGGGGGTCTTCCATTATTTTGTCAGAGAATATGTTATCATTGCCCTATTATGTCACTCATGTCCCTCGGGGGTACTATTAATGTCATAACCCAAAGTGGTGAAGGCGCGTTCCCGGGGGGCACCTTCCATTATTTTGTCAGAGAATATGTTATCATTGCCCTATTATGTCACTCATGTCCCTCGGGGGCACTATTCATATCATAACCCAAAGTAGTGAAGGCGCGTTCCCGGGGGGCGCCTTCCATTATTTTGTCAGAGAATATGTTATCATTGCCCTATTATGTCACTCATGTCCCTCGGGGGCACTATTCATATCATAACTCAAAGTGGTGAAGGTGCGTTCCCGGGGGGCGCCTTCTATTATTTTGTCAGAGAATATGTTATCATTGCCCTATTATGTCACTCATATCCCTCAGGGGCACTATTCATGTCAGTACCCAAAGTGGTGAAAGCGCGTTCCCGGGGGCGCTTCCATTATTTTGTCAGAGAATATGTTATCATTGCCCTATTATGTTACTTATGTCCCTCGGAGACACTAT